CTTCGGTACCTTTGATTCCCCCACAGGCATCCTTCAATCAGAGTTGGCATCTCCCACCTTTCAACCCACCTGAGTCCTTGAAAGCCAATAACTGGTGCATGTGTCACAAGACAGATGCATGGTGATCTAAGGGCTCAAAGACTGTTAGGCCACCTGCTCTGTCTTAGGGAAGCACAGACTTTCTCAAGTGTGAATTGAGCAGCAGTGTTGGGTCATGAACAGACACGTCAGTGGGAGTCACAGCCCCTGGTACTGACTGGCTGGGTCACCTTGGATTCCTTACCTGGAATGTGCAACTGCTGTGCCCCTTCCAAATTCCATCCTACTTTGCCCCCCTAGATGTGATTTCTCTGTATCTTCCATTTCCAAGGACAGTCTAGAGATGAGTAACAATGGGACTTCCCATTGTCCTGAAACCCTGAAGATACTGAGCAGCCTGGCCTGGGACTGGATGTTTCAGCAGAAATAAGACAGGGGATACCAGAGTCAAGCCTGGAGGTCAGTTCAGTCATCAGGCAGTGGAGGCGCAATGTGGGGCCGTTTTCTGCAGGTGTTTCATGATGACTTACTTGAACCAGTGACCTCCAAAGATAGAGCAGAGTGCAAGGAATGATCTAGAAAGAGTGAAGGGGACAGGGAAGAGCTGGTGGCTTTGGAGCAGAACCATATTCCATGTTCTGGGATCTTTAAGTTTCCTCTCCTTCTGCAGAGGGCAGGTGAGGACTATGTGGATCCTTCCATAAATACATGTGGACATTTGCAAATGCAGAACTGACTGGTGGAAAGGGTGGGAATGAACTGCTAGAAATCTGGTCCTCATTGGACCATGTGTGTTTGATGGAAATGAGACAAATTTTGGGAGAAGTTTTGGAAATATTTTCTTTTATTGTACTCTCTACTCTCCGATTCCATGGGTTTGACTACCCTAGGGACCTCATGGAAGTGGATTCCAGAGTGAATCTGTGAAGAGACTGCTGGTTGCCAGGAGCTGGGAGTGGGAAGAATCAGAAGTTGGTCATGGGTGTGCAGTATCAGTTATGCAAGATATTATATACAGCTTGATGCCTATGGTTCACACAGATTGAGCATTTCTTATGTGTAAGACTTAGGACAAAAAGTGTTTTGGATTTCTGACATTTTTTGATTCTGAAATATTTGTCACATACTTATTGGTTTCACATCCCAAATCTGAAAGATTCAAAATCTATAATGCTCCAGTAAGCATTTCTTTTCAGCATCAGATTAGTACGCAAAAATGGGAGGTGACAGGCCAAATACGTTCTTGTCCTTTTTCTCTCTCTCACCATGTTTCTAGCTTGGTGATTAGTTTTTGGTCAATTCCATACTGGCCATGCTGCACTTGTATATTTTTGAAGGTTTTGGGATGTGAGAAATAATGATTGCTATTTTCTATGTCACCAACACTTTCCGCCTTTTCATGGTTGCATCTTTTCCTCAATGTCTCTGTTGTAGCAGTCATCAATTAAGAGCCTGTCAGGTCAGATTTAGGACAGATTTTTGTAATTCTGCAAAAAATGTTACTGGGATTCTGGTAGGAGTTGTGTTGAATCTGCAGCTCACTTTGAGTAATATTGTCTTCCTAACAATATTGATTCTTCCAATCCGTGAAAGTGAATTGTCTTTCCATATAATGATGTCGTCTTTAATTTCTTTCAGTAATGTTTTGTAGTTTTCATGATATAACCCTTAGACCTTTTTGGTTAAACTTATTCCAAAATATTTTATTCCTTTTGATGTTAATGTGATTGGAAATTCTTTTCTTAATTTCCTTTCAGATTGTTCATTGTTACTGTATAGTCTAAAGAATGATGTAGAAGGCGTGAAGGCGACAGGTAAAAGCTGGTGGTTTTGGAGCAGAAACATATTCCCTGTCCTGGGTTTTTGATTTTCCCTCTCCCTTTGCAGAGGGCAGGTGGCTCTTCCCTGATAGCCAGAGAGACTTCACTGGAAAACGTATTGGCAATGCTCCAGGGATCCACTTACCAGGGACTATGATCCTCTGGATTATGAGATTTGTCCCACCAGTGGCTGAGTTATGCATGAAACAGACATAGACCCCTCCATATGTTTTAGTGATTTGGGGGATAAAGAACACTTTGTTCTTTATCTGGATTACTGGAATTTCCCATCAATCAGCCAAGAAAGCTCTGGCAGTGGGTGAGAGTCTGTGAGGCAGGATAGCTTGGGGACTTCCCCTGGATGGTAATAGGTGTATGAAGAAGAAATGGTGGGGGTATCTAGGCCATCTGGAGCAAAGAGAATAAAGTCACAGCTGATGTTGTCAGAGGGAAGGGAAAATCCTGGTCTGTGGAAAGGCCACAGTGACCCTGTGAGCCTAGTCACAACACTGAAATCCCAGCCAAATCCTTGCTGTGTTCACTGTTCTGGAGCCTGAG